CATGTTTGGATTTTTGCATTGAGCTGCTGAACCAGCGGGTCTCTTGGTGGAGGATTATGAGTGCGCGCTGGTAGACACGTTGGCGGTGCTGGGACGGGGGGAGTATGGATGGCGCGACGCCGAGAGCTACCCACCAATGTTGTCACGGATCATCAAGGTGGCACGGTTCATGGTGGTGCACAAGGCGCTGCGACTGGACGCCAATGCATCCGACATGCTGGCCAGGAACCAAGCAAGCCAGATGGTGGGAGAGTGGGCCGTGGTGAACGCCATGAAGGAGGCGGATTACACGTTCACAGGCAATCAGAATGAAGGGTAATCAGTGAAGACATCAGAGGCACATCATCAACAATCAGACAGACATTCCACAAACAGAATGTCCATCAAGGCCGGTTCATCATCACACATCAGCAGCGAGGGCAGAGGGCATTGATGGATGAGGAGGTTTTAGTGGAAGAGGCGCAGAGGTGGAAGGATCAGTGTGTGATATGTGCAAATGGCAAGCGGGAGTTTGACCATGAGCTGTACCAGTGTCCCCACGAGGAGAGCCAGGAGGCAAAGAGATGGATGATGACAGTGCGGAGCAAGATCAAATACACACAGTATTCCGGGTGCTTCCGATGCGGGATGCCGCAGTCCATATGCAACAGCTGGAAGACACAGAGGCAGTGTCCGTACAGGGGATTTTTGATCCCGACAGTGGCAATGATGATGTATGGGTGTCATGCAGGGCAGATGAAGCAGGCGTGGAGACAGCGGCTGAGAGAGTTCAATGTGGATGCAGATGATCAGGAGGCGGTGATTGAATTTTTGGGACAGAAGGTTGAGGGGCAGGGCATGGAGCACAACCGGCTGGTGGAGATGGTTTGTTGGCTGCGAGGGATATATCAGGAGGCAGAGAGGGGGAAGATCGAGTTAGAGGGTACAGAGGTCAAGTGATATCATGGGTGAGGGGCACATCACGGGTGAGAGGCACCACAGGAGGATGAAAGATGTATATATATATAAAGGCAGGTGAAGCAAGAGACAGAGGGTAGGGTTACAAAGAGTGAGGGTAGAGGCTGGGGGGAAGGATGAGGTGGTCAGAGTCAGGGTTAGGGTTGACAAAGAGTGAGGCTAGAGACAGGGGTGGGCAGTGAGGTCAGAATAGATGGTTAAATTGAGCACAAACCCGTTAACCCATTGGAAGTCAAACCCGTTGGACCCAAACCCGTTGGCCGTCGAACCGGTTGGATGAGCGCATTAACCCGTTGGAAGTCGAACACCCATAGCCCAACCCGTTGGACGTCGAACCCGTTGGACCCAACGTGGG